GCAATGCGCGCTCCCGACACAGGGGGAACAGATTTTCACAGGGGAACAGAATTTCTCACAAGACCGGTAAGCTCCATTGCGTCGAACTGGCGCATTACATACGTTAGTGATTGGGTAAATTTTAAAACTTCAACATCATACAGGAAGCAATAATTCCTCAATAACAGAGAGCCCAACCAGTTGGTGTAAAGCAAATTGCGTTGGAAAAAGGGGGCTGGATTTTTCCAGGCTAAATTTGCAGAATCTATTTGGAATATATTATTGTGGTACTATAGATCCTTAAAACAAATTATGAAGGAAAGTTTAGTTCTTGTATATCGTATAAATTCATATCATGCTTTATAATAGCATTAATCTCATAGTTTCCATATTAGTGGTTTAAAGCAGTGACCACACACAAAATATGGCCACATTAACTTGCTGCACTTTTGCTAAAAAGCTCTTGGCTGGCCTTTGGATAATTATCCAAGGGTGGGGTGTCCCTAAAACCACTGAAACAAAAACATTCAAGTCCCAGAATGTCTTTCCATGGTTTATGATCCATCTTTTTTCTTCTCTTCAAACCACAGGTCTATGACAGCAGCTGTGGAGTCACCCAGCCAGACTGTGACCTTATCAAGAGTCAGAAACACGTCTTAATGAACGCTGCCTTCAGGGTATCTTTAATATCCCCAATGGGGCAATTTATACTACAGCCAGCAGAATAAGCATACACCAACAATAAATATAGTAAATAAGATTTAAGATAAGATTTAAGAAAAAAAAGAAAAACATCACAACACTCAACTGAAGTATTTAAAAGGCTATTAAAAGCAGAAGAAAATGAATTATTAAATCTGTTGGCCTGCAGCTTTTTAAAGCAAACCTGCCTCCTGACGGTAAAGGAGAGAATTAAACAAGGGTTTGGTGCAGCTAAAATTGCCTGAGCTTTCTTGGGGGATCTGCTTCGTGGAGGGTAGAGATGTTGCTAAGGAAGGCATTGGTAATTTTGCACTGGCATTGAAGCATTGAATGTGGTTTTTGTTTTATACCAGCAAATAAATGAACAAGTAAGAACAGATTCAATAAAACAGTTATAAAACATTCCCATAAAACTACTATCCATGTTAAAATGTCTAATTTATTTACGATAAGTGTCTAGGTTGGTAAGCTTGTTTGTCAAAACAAAGTCTATTGTCAGTTGTGGTCACAATATATTTGTATTCTTCCAGAAATTCAACTGCTTGATCATGAATGTACAAATGGGAGACGACATTTTTATTTTTCCTAAAAATCAATCATGTCTTTGGTTCTGCTTATATTTATGTCTAAAGTGGGTCAACAGTTTATGTACGTGCTTTTGTATCTAAAAATATTGACACCCCACATTATGGTGGTGGCAGTATAATGATGTGGGGAGGCTTGATGGATGAAGCTAAAGATAGCACAATCCTGGAATAAAACCTGTCAGAGGCTGCAAAAGTCTTGGGACTGAGGTGGATGTTCACCTTCCGGCAGGAAAACGACCCTGAACACTTTCAGTTCTACAGTGGATTCTGGGTCGCAATGGCCTAGTCAAAGTCCAGACATAAAGCCAACTGATAAACCTGAATCATTTTAACAACTTAACATCGATACAACCTCAAGTACATTGAAGTTAGATGTTGAGACATAAGAAAATGTGAAAAACCTCAACGTCTTTTTCAGGTTTTACGGCTTTTCTCTGAATATTTGTGGTTTTGCACAGTCGTTTGTTCACTTTTTTACAATTTAATCTGTAATTTTAAAGGCTCAGAATTATGACCCAGATTAGAGTGAAACATGGGTACTTACTGATCTCACACTGAGCTCCGCTGAAGCCAGGGGGACACTGACAGATGTAGTTGGACGAGTAGACGGCCTCCTTGCAGGTTCCCCCGTTGTAGCACTGGGACACGTAGCAGTCTGGAAAAAGAAAAGGCAGACAGAGGCGTTTAGTCAGCCCCACGTCATCCGGCTCTTCAGAGCAGCAGCAGCTTAAACAATTTTAATCTGAGTGATTTGTCATCGCTGGTCACAGAAAATTAAAAAACTGTGGGTTTCAGTAGTATGCAAATGTCTTCGTTTACGCGGTTTGACATGGCTCCCTTCCCTGCCAAGGATTTGTAAAAAACAAGTTTTAAGTGTTAACCAATGCTGGTTTTGTTTTATATCAAGCCGTGTTTGGAAGGGGTTGTATGAAAGATGGAAAATGTGGTTGCAATTTGTCTGAGGGAGGGTTAGGGCTGCTTCGAAGAATCTCTCAATGGGGGTGAAAATGCGCACGAGGGCTGGTCTGGCAGGAGGATTTTCAAATAATCTCAGACTAAACTGAGAGCAGCGGCTCTTCATGTGGATGCAGTGAAATAACAGGGAAGTGGAAACGTGAGCGAGTCGGGCCAACATAAAATAATCAGCTGAGGTCGTAACGGCAAGTTAGAGGTAAAGACTGAGCTATAATGGAAGGCAGGCAGCTTGGTGAGGGCTGGCAAGCAGACGGGTGATTACGATGCGGCAGAGAGAGAGAGGAGGGGTCGGGTAAGTCAGATGGTTCTGATTGTGTTTGTGTTAAATCCGACTCACTGATGACAGGCACAACATGACATTGCTCTCTTCCTCTTAACGCGCAATGGCAAAACTCCACGCGCTGTCCTTTCCAGCGCAGCCAAGTGTCGCCAAAGCTACGCACGGCTGACGTTTCACTGTCCACACACAGGACTGAGGAAACGCATAAAAACAGTGAGAAAACAGGCAAATCAACCATAAATAAAGCTGTAACTTTTATTAAAAATCTATATTTTTCAACATATTTGTTAAAACTGTCAGCGTAGTATGAGACGGATAATCTGTGAAAAAAAATCAAGCTCTTCTACCTTCTCCCAGTGTTCCCAGTGCCAGCCAATCAGAGCCCAGAGGAGGGTCTTAGCGCTTGAATCAAGCTTGTGTACGTGCTGCTCTTTCACCCACTTTCGCTATAATATGTTACAGCTTCTTCCTGATGGTATTGTGAATACTCAGCCACGGAAAAGCAGATAAACTCTTTTCCTTGAATGGTGAGTTGTTTCTCCGCCATTAGCGCATTTAGCAGTGCATACATGAGCCTGATTGACAGCACTAAGACCCTCCTCGTGGCTCTGATTGGTTGTTTTAATGCACCGGAAGCAGTGCATTTCTTTAGACAGCAGCAGGGAGGAGATCGATCTTTTCACAGATTACCTGTCTCTTCTTACACTGTCGCGACACGGTGACACTTTTAACAAATACGTAAAAAACATGTTTATTTTTATATAAGTTACATAGTCCAGCTTCAACATTAGTTTGATTCAAACATGAACAACTAAAAGGAGGATGACTGACAGATAAAGGATTTTAAGACAACGATGGTGGAGGTGACTATTAGGATGATGCAGAGGAAGACAAAGAAAAACATGATGAGGCTCACAGGATGTTTCAAAGGAAGGCGAAGGTTTCTTCAACTGAACAATCAAAAGCGTCCGTCTAGCTGGCTGCCGGTTGGGCTCACCTCTGTAAAATCGGGTCCCTCGCTTGCTGCGGAGCAGCGGCACCTGCAAACATCAAGGACACGCTAAACATGCTGGAGGTTTATTTAAGCACTGGAAAGAAATGCTGTGTATTTTGGGTAGACTCTGGACTTTATGAGCTAAATTGTTCCACCAATAAAAAAAATAAAAGAATCTATTAATATTTCAAAGTGAATGTTTTTTAAAGCTTTTACAGAAACTCCCCTCTGAAGTCAAAATTAGGGCAAACAGTAGATCTTCTACAGTCTGTGGAGAATTTTTCTGCAACCTCAAGTCCAAGAAAGTTTCTCAAAACTCCTGTGATTCAACACAGGACTTGCAGCCTTCATAAACCCGTATTTAAATCACAAAAGAACACAGAAAACATATGTTTAGGAAATTGCACCGTTTTTAAGGAAGAACTAACAAACATTGTTGGTTTGATGCAGGACTGCAGGGTGGTGCAGTTGGAAGCATGGTTGCATTGCAGAAAGAAGGTTTCCTTTAGTACGGATGACTGCATGTCCTCCATAACAGATTTTCAGACCAATGTGACCCCTGAGGTGCATGTAGGTCCAAAAAGGACAAAATTAGATAAATATGTAATAAAATAAGTAAGTATACCACTAAATGTCTTATTAAATAATGTATAGGGATATACTTTTTAATCATATTTACCAAAGAAATTAATTTTCAAAGTATGTAACTATATATTTATTTCTAAATAGATTGATGGAAATTAGTATTTTTATGGCATTGCCATTCTCTGGTGTTGTAATTTTGAGGCCACAGGTGGAAAAGTTTGGGATCTCCTGACCTTTTTGAAGAATCCAGGTTCTTACCAAGTAAAAATGTTTGACAAAAATGCAGCAAAAAACTGTTAGTAGCAAATCCAGCCTTTTTGAGAAATGTGTCTGCCATGAAATATATATTTTTTTTCTTAAAATGGTACATCATGTTTTTCTTCTTACACATTTACAGATTTAATGTTCTCTATGTTTTGTTGTGGCTTTGTGAGATTTGCTTATTTTTTCCCACACTTTGCAGTGTCCCAACTTTCATTTTTAGTTGCTTAAAAAACTTTTTTCACATTTTATCTTATTTATTAATTCAAAAGCTGAATAAAGATTCAATATTATTTAATTGGGTTTCAGGCCACATTAATAATAATGTTTAAAATATATAGCTGCTGAATTTTTTAGCATAGTAGGATTATATTTTACCCGTATTATATGTTTTATCATGCATTATTTAGAAATAATAGGGTTTATAACCACCCTGTAATACTTACGTTGTCCGCTAGGCAGCAGCAGAGAGCAGAAAGGAGGAAGATTCCTTGATATAAACTCATCATGACTTTTCCAGGTTTCAGTTTTGTTCACTTTTCTGGAAGACAAACAAGAATTTATCAGAAGAGTTTGCTTTAGATTCACCAAACTCAGATGTTTTATTAACATTTTCAACATCCACATATGAACACTTTTAGGGACTCTGAGAAGACATGCTGCTCTTTAATCCCATGACAGTGCAAAATATTAATGAATATTATAAAATATAACACATGATGTGCATATCCTGCACCATTTTCACAAACGCAACAATAACATCACTGCTGACGGGAAATGTAAGGATCTGCAGAAATGTTATTACTAATGAGTTAACTGTCCCCCACACTTATTGCTGTATCTTTATCTTTCGTCACCAATATATAATCAACTGAGACAATCACAGGAAAATGTCAATATTGGTCACCTTCTCCCAGCTGAACTGTTCCTGCATTCAGTTCACTTCCTCCGTTAAACACTGAGCACGCCAAAACGGGTCGCCACTGGAGAGGAAGGGCTGTAAACATTTAGTACCAGAGGAAACTCGAAGGCCACTTCCAGTTTTATTCAAGTTCAGAGGAAGCTTTAGGAGTCCGTGCAGGACTCGCATATTTCAAGTTTTCAGTCCACCTTGAATTCATTTCCCTCTTTTGTTTACATTCCCTTTATGAAGACCCCTCCTGTGGCTTAATTGCATCAGTTAGAAAAGACTAATTTGTTTTCCAGAAGGAATAAACAGGAAATGAGTCAGTTGGTTAACAAACCAAAAAAAATAAAAAATTCACAAAAAAAACCGCCACATCAGACGACACAATGTGGAAAACCCTGCAGTTACAAAAGGCTGAATGCAATAATGCTTCAACACATTAAAGCAAGGAAACAACTAAGAATAAAGGACAGGACTGGGATAGACCTTCTAACATTTCCATCTTAAGTTAAAAAGAAAAAGAAGTGGTTTGCAAAAGCATTCACACTGCTTGAACTACTTCACAGATTTCATAGAAACTGGTAATCCAACACGAAGTATCACGGCTCAAATATTCTCCATGCAGCCTGACTAAGCTTGACCTAGTTTGCAGAAGAAGGGTGGACAAAACATTCAGTTTCTAGGTGTGCAAAGCTGCATAGAGACAAGCCTCAGAAGACATGCAGGTGTATTGGACTCTTTTATTTGTCCAGTTTCTGGTGCAAATATCTTAGCTTTGTCTTATTGCAAGTGGACTAATCTACAAGTAACTTTTTAACAAAATATTGGAGCTTGTTTTAAGACAATATTAATCACTTAATGTTGGTTTTAAAAAGAAGTACTAGCAGGTTATTTCACTTATAACAAGACATTTTCCCATGTTGTAAGTGAAATAAACTGCCAGTAGTGGAACCAGTACTTTTTACATCAATACTAAAGAATTATTTATTTAAAACAAGCTATCTTGCTGAAAAGTTACCTGTAGTTTTGTATATTACAATATTACTAATACTTAGTAATATTTTGCGTTTTTGCACCTCAAAAACATGTTAAAATTACTTCAGAAATGGTCCCTTGTGGCCTAAAAACTTTTATTCTGCAAAAATGTGAATGAAAACCGAGTCTGCTGCCCCACATTCAAGTGTGAGTAAACATGAGTCACAACAGTCAAAGATGAGAGGAGGATGCACTAAAACAGAAAAGGAGGAAGCTGTGCAAGGCATAAATAAGAAGTGAAACTGATTTCTAAATAAAAAAAACCTTCAATGTTGTTATAAAAATAAGAGAAGGGAACTTCCTCCACAGAGCATGTGCATGGCAGAGATCCAGTAATAACCACCTGAAGCCGTGCCAGCCGTCCTCCTCTCTGCCTTGTGCAATCTCCAGTGAGTCACTCTCTGAGCTCATTTAATACATGTGTTGTAAAATGTATGTGAAGTAAAACAGCTACGTTGGCAGGCGCTCTCAAAAAAAACGAACAAAGTGCTCAGGAACGTGGAGATAATCCTGAAACTACTGCCCATTTCACCCAGCGTTCAGTAAAGCAAACTCCACATGCACGACATTTAACGCATAAACTCACCGCAAACTGCACGAGCCTGAGTCAAATAAAAAGACGTTCACCCTCCCGATACAAGAGCCTCACTGGCAGCGTGACAAAGACACACCAGCTTCTTTTTTGTTTCCTTTTGTGCATCTTTTCTGACCCATTCAGCCGCCTCTGCAGCCGTGTCAGCTGAAAACATGTGTTTCCTGCTCAAACCGGAGTCAAGGCTCTGAGTTAAAAAAAAACTAAAAAAAAACTGGATAACGAAGCACGCACGCACGAAAACACTCATCAGAACATCAGATATGAACACATGTGCCTCCCACCCTGTCACAGGCCTGACATGCAGGGGCCCGTTTAGGGAACATCAGCGCTGGAGCGGGTCCAAGTTTCTGCAGCTTTACTACATATAAGAGGGAAGGAAGCTACACAGACAACCAGGCCTGTCGCAATTAGGAATAATTAAATTAATCACATGGATCAATTAAAAGTAACTCGATAATGACTGTGCCTGATTCTCTTTTCTTTCTCTATTTCACTAAAAAGTGGATGATAAAAGTCTTCAGTCTGGTGTTTTGGTCTCAACTAACCTTGACAATTATTTGTTGTTTTGTTTGTTTATTTTGGATATTTAACATGTCTTCCAGTTCCAGTGTCAAATGTTCAGTGGGATTTAACGTTTATTGATCCTTGAGAATCTGTTCTTCATTTATTCTTCACTTATGTTAGCTGAAAATAATCTTAAAACAACAATATTATTGTTTATCGCAATAACTCCTGCGACAATTTATATTTATATGTGTTTTAGATATTAATATTATAGCTCTAATTATACAATTAGTGATATAATATTTATAACCCAAGTGTGAAATTAGAATAAATTTAAATATGACCTAAATATGAAATAAATTAAATACACAAAATAAATAAAAACAAGTATGTACATGGAAATGTGTGAATCTACAAATCTATAAATGAGTTCAGAGTAAAACTAAAACACATTTTTAACATCAATGACTAAAAAATATTCCAATATTCACATCATACTGATTTTTTTTTCTAAATTTTGCATTTTTGTGTAATGGACCAAGATAAAATCGTCCTAATTTGTAAAATGGAGCAAAAAATAGGATATACAGTAAAGTGCCAATGAAAATTAGTTTTCAAGTCTTGCAACAGATTCTCGGTTGAGATTAGGTCCAAACTTTGACTAGGCCGTTAATGCCTCTCCCTGTTTGTTCAGGGATGCTGGGAGGCGAAGCTCCAACATATCTGAAGTTATTTAAACCATCTCACAGGTTCACCTCCAGAGTTGTCCTGTTTTTACCTTAAGTCACATTCTGGTTCACTCTTAACAATCATCTGCTGAGAAGAGCAACCCCACAGCATCACACTGCCATCACTATGTTTCATTGTGAGGATGGTGATTGTGTAAGTTTTTCCATTTAGCCTTTACAAGACATCTTTGTTAGTATTAATTAATCACTATGTTCAACTTTGTTGAAATATTTTTTAAAAACGTGCACATAACATGCATAAGAAAACGTCTGTTTCCCAGGTTTTTATATTCACACTTCAAAATAACTATTTTTGTTTCAAATCTTAATTTAAAAATATTAGCTAAAAACTGGAAGGATAATTCATCATTGCAATATGCAGGCTACATGTGACCTTGGTTTTATCCAGACTTTCATTGCTGTTTATGTTTTTTAAGAGAAATTTGCCACTAGTTTTAGTTTCCTCACTCATGTTTTCACTCTGCATTGTTGACCGCAGTACAAGACCGTACAACGTGCTGCTTCGAACTACACAACCCTTTGCAGCAAAGAGGCTTTTAGGACAAAATAGGTAATGTGATTAATCTGGATTATATAGTATTAACATATTAAGATATTTAGATTAATAACATGCGTTAACAGCCATAGTTTATATTAAACTCCACATAAATTCACTCTATTTACTAACAAATTATTCTGAATTTAAAGGGTGATGACTACAAATAAACACCACACATTTTCATTGTTGCTTACATAAAAAAAAAACAATTTAACTTGTCATTACCCTTCAAAAAATGTGCTACTTTGTGTTGGTTTTATAGCATAAGATCCATACTGTTCCAAACTGTGCAAAATTTAAGGTTTCAGGATAAATTTGCAAGGCCCTATCTATCACCAAGTAGATGCCTAAATATTTATTCTAGTCAAAAAAAAAACAAGGTTAACATCCGAAACATCTGGAACAAAGAATGCAGCTTGGAGAGAATGTGGTTCCTCTTCTTAGTGGGTCAAATAAGAAAAGACAACATGAAAACATCTTTAGAGAAGCTGAGGTCAGACTGTGACTCATAATAGCCGGTTAAAGATGGAGAACTTAAGCACTGCAAACAAATACAACAGACGGTGGCGATAGGTTCGCACAAACATGCCTGCGCTCTGCAGTTATGTCCAAAGCTGGAAGCAGATGCCACCAGGTGCGTGACATTTCTGTGTATTTATGGAACTGGTCTTTAGAGCTGACCACCATCTTAGCGATGAGAGCATCAGAGCATCAGAGAAGATTTGTAATGATGATGATGATGTGCTGCAAAAGGCTGCATGTGAAAGATTCCTTTATGACCAAAATGCTAAACTGTGGATGGTTTGGTTGTGAGGAACAGCGTTCAAGATGCCTGCTAAAAATTCAAGCATCTGCACCAAGTTTTTATTTTTATTTATTGTTCCTCTTGTCTTTCTCCTCATCAAAGCATGATAAAGACGCCACACCAGGCTTTGGTTTTCTGCGTCATGTGATTAATGTGTTAACTTATTTTTACATTACTGAAGCCTCTTCCATTTTACATGCTCCGCTTTGTCTTCTGTCTATAAAATCTATAACTTCCTGTGATTATTTATCTGGCATATTTTATTCAAACTAATTCATTTTGAACAATGGCAACTCTACTTTTAATGTGCATTTCAACTAATCGACTTTTTGTTTTAAAAAATTGGCACATTCTGAAGATATTTAATTTACCACTTTTCATTAAAATATATATAAGCAAATAATTCAATTCCTTTTTGAATAAGAAAACAAACATTTTACCATCTAAAACAGAATAACATAGCATTCCTTATACGCTTGACAATTTATAGGAGAGGATTAATTTCCAGTTAAAAATGCTTCTAACATCTGAAAAGATGAAAAGAACAGATGTGAGCTGATCTGTCGACTATTTTTAGATTAATCAATTAATGATTGGGCAGCAAAAGGTGCTTAATGGGAGTTTTTTGCAGTGCAAATATCTTAGTAGACATGAAACAAGACAAAATTAACTTACAAGTAACTTTTCAGCGCGATATATGAGCTTGTTTCAAGTTTTAAAAATCCTTAATATTGATTTTAAAAGTAGTTCCTTTGATAGATTATTTCACTTATGACAAAACATTTCCTCATGTTATAAGTGAAATAATCCTCCAATGGAACAAGTATTTGTTTCATCAATATTAAGGAATTATTTACTTAAAACTTAAAACAAGCTACTATGTCTTGCTGAAAAGTTACTTGTAAGATATTTGCACTAGAAACTAGATAGAAAATAGTAAGATTTTGTGTTTTTGCAGAGTATATTCATAACTACAGCTCAGTTCTTGTGTAACTTTTTCAAATCAGTTGGTTTTCAATTTAAAGAAAAACTTATTTGACATCATAGTATCCTAACATTTTTTCAATCAATCTAGACGTAGAGGTTTAACTACATAAATTTTAAGAAGAATGTGTTAAAACCTGTGATTTAGGGCACTTATAAAGCTCTGTTATTACTTTGCCTGAGGCTTTTCAGGCTTCAACAAAGCAGCTGTGATCTGGCTTCTGTAAAGTCCCGCTGCAGAACAACCAGCTGCATTGTTACCTCCCAGCCTCCCTCTGTGCAACAACTCTGGGAACTCTCTATCAGGGAGAAACACGAACTGGAAAGCTGCAGCGGAGGCAGACATACAGGTGTTGATATCAGCAAAGAGCACAAACTGAGGCCACAATGAGGGAGTTTCAGGGAAAGAAAAGATGAAAGGATGGAGAGTTTGGATATTAAACCCCAGCAGTCAGCAGAAAGACAGTAAGTAGTCGTGACTCAGCCCCACTATGAGGGCTGGAGACACACTGAGGCATTTATGAGATGCAGAGGAGGAGTGAGAGTCTTTGGATGAAAATAGAGGTCAAACATGAAGTCAGAAATGTTTTATTTCTTCAGCCCAGCATTGAAACCCCAGTGTGATTCAGCCTCATCTTCTGGTTAAACAGCTGTGGCTTATTCTGAGTCAGAAGCATCAGCATGAGGCGCAAACCCAGCTGAGGAAAAGATAATGTACATAAACCAAAGAGTATGTGACCAATGAAGAATGTTTGCAGGAAAGGAGAGAATACTGAGCTTAACTCAGATCAAATTGCTTAAAAAAGTGTGAGATCATCAGATTTACCAGCTTTTATGCATTTGAAAATCACCCAGTTTCTGCTCTTTGCACAACTTATGAACCATTAAAAAAAGCCAATACCAGAAAATTCTAAAACTGAATTTGAAGAAGAAATAGTGTTAATTTCTGCCAATGAAAAAATTGGCAGAAATTAACACTATTTGCTCTGCATTTATCAGCTGAAAGACATTATTTACATCTCACATGTATCTGATAAACTGTTTTATTTAAGGTGGAAATGCGAGTCAATCTAAAGACCCGTTTCAAGATAAAGCAGCAAAGCGTAACGCAGGTGATGAAAACAGAAATATAACTCAACACGTCCTGCTAAACGTTTAAGATCAACAGGCTTGCAGCGGGAGAAGTCATCATGCATCGCGATCGTAAATCATAAGAAAAGAAACAACCTTACCAGTTACCGGGTCTTGAAATTAGCGCTTTTCGGGATGCTTTCAGCAACACTGCTGTCGGAGTCCTTCTGCTTCCCTGGCACCGTCCGGACTTTTTATCGGACCACTGCGGTCCCGCCGGTGCCTCTGAGGGGCGGGTCGACGTGAACTCAGCAGAGGAGCGGCTTACCGGGCCGATGATGAAGGTGATGATGATGCATCCTGTTGGGTGGGACTCACGTTGATTTTTGTTCTGAGGAATTAAAGAGTACTGAAGAATGTATTGACATGGTTCCTTTGTTATTGCTGTTTGAATTCTTTGGAAGTAAATTAACAATTATAAGAGTAAATTTAATTACTTCAGACCTTCTTTTTTATTTAATTGTTTGAAAATGACGCAAACTTAAAGCACTTTTCTGGCTTTCACACCTCCACCTTCAGATCAGATCAAAAACATTTTACAGATCCCAAAGGGAAACTAAATGTTTTAACTCATATTGTTCAGGGTTTTTCACAGAGTTGTTGAAAATAAAGATGTCTGTGGGCAGAAAGGTCCTCCTGCAGCAGTTAGCATTACAGCAACTCTGAAAATACTTCTGACTGAAGACACTTTATTGTAGTCTCATTCATAGGCTGTGATTTATGGCAATGTGTCACATATGGAAGTTTTAAGTTTCCTATTTGTAACTTCCTTACAAGCAGGAAGTTACACACAACTTCCTGTGTGTTTAAAAAAAAACACAGGAAGTTGTGGAAGTCACGTGTTTCAAGCAAATAACTTCCTATTTGTCAGACAACTACTTTTCTGATTTAATCTCAGTTTTCTTTCTTGTGTTTATACCTACAAACAAAAAAAATGTGAGCAGGAAGCTAACAATGATAAAAATAAAAATAAAAAAAAATAAAAAAATAAAAACATTTACATTCACTCAGTATTAATTTTGGGCTTTTAAAGATGGATTTGATCAATTAAAATTGTTAGGGTTGAACAATTATAATCATTAATTCTTAAAAATACAAATCAATTATAATTTTAATTCATTATGAATTCTCATAAATGTTAACATACGTTGTTAGCCCAGGGCTTTGGAAAGACGTTTCAGCATGTTTTCAAAAGCCAGTTTTGACGTTTGGGATTTTTGTCAGAACAAAAAGTTTCAAACGTCTGACCCAAAGTGAACCACTCAGACAACAGGGAACTGGTTTGGAGGAGCAACAAGAACCACCAAGGCTGAAGTTTTAAGGCTGATCAAAATATTAAGTGTAGAAAACTTAAGGCTCATTTTTTAAGCCTGGAAAATGAAATGGATTCACAGCTTCCATTGTGATGAATTCAGAGCCAGGCAGGTCTGTCTGGGTGCATCTGAGTGTCGATTTGTTTGGCACCAGATCTCATTTCTCTCAGCCACAGACCCCCATTATTCAACCCAGCCCTTTACCAGTGGCTCCATCTTCACTCAGAACCACAGTGGGTTAATTTAATTGGAATAGTTTCAACTCAGGGATTTTTTTTTTACTGGTTATGAAAACCACATCATATCAACCCAGCACTTTAGCATGTAAGATAGGCGTCAGTCCAATTTGTTTGTTTTATTGCTGCCAGTTCCTGTTTAGGGAAGTAGCTTGGTGGTAGAAAGACAGTCAAATAAACATCTTTTATACACTGCAAAAACTTTTGCTGTCTGGTTTATAGTGGTAATATCTCACTGTACTTGAAATAAGACAAAACTAACTTTTCAGGAAGGTATAAGAGCTTGATTTCAGTCAATAATTTCTTAAAATTTATTTAAAAATTTCCAGTTCCACTGGGACATTATTTCAGTTATAATTTTGGAAAAAGGTTTTAAGTAAAATAAGCTGCCAGTATATTTTTTTTATATTTTTTCATTAATATCAAAGACATATTTAAATCAGCTCCTGTATCTTGCTGAAAATCTACAGTAAAGTTAGTTTTGTCTAATTTCAAGTGTACTAAAAAAAATTACACTATATTGGACCAAACATTCTTGAAAAGATTTTGAGTTTTTTCAGTGTAAAAAATCTGTTCAGTTTTTATGAAATTTCAGCATAAACCATTCACTGTTTATGACAAAAGATGGAGTAAATCAGACGTCTGAGTTTGGTGATTATGGACAGATTTTCTCTCTTATTGCTATTTTGTCACACTTAAATGTCTTCAAATTAACTTTAACATCAGAGGAAAATAACCTAACAAAATACAAGAAGTTGTCTTCATGAATCAAGAAATCACCTAAATAGAAACTTTCTGACAACATGAAGTAGGCATAAAGGTCCCACTATATCCAAACAAGCAGAGTTTAAGACAAAAACTGAAGGAAATTTAGTTTTATTTGTTGCAGTTTCCATCACAAAGTCTTAACTTAACATATAAGTTAAGACTTTAACTTATATGTTAATTAGCAGGTAGTTTTGTCTCTGAGGATTTCAAACCTTGATAAGTCCATCTTCACCTTTATGTAATGCCACATGAAAGCTGGTCATTTAAAACAAATAAAGCTTTAAAAATGACAACATAATGTCTATAATATTTTCTTAAATTGTTGTTCAAAGCCAAATGAAAACTTGCTCTACAATTTAAGAAATGAGCACTGAAACACTTGCACATCATTTATTTAAGTAAAATAAAGAGCTAGCTACTTAAACACCATCTGAGACATTTCCCGGACTACTTAGTGATCCAAATTAAGACAATTAAGGTTTCTTATTACAAGTTTATGTTGAAGCTTTTATGTGGCTCTTCTTGTTGCACTTGTTCGTCCCTGGGAAAGATTTGGATGTGACGTCTGACTCTCTGAAAAAGGAAATGATTTGTGAATTTTCCAACATTTTCCACCTGATAACATGTTTTCATACTGATTCTATCAACAAAGTGTGCTTCAGATCTTACGGTGAGTATCTTTTACTCACCATAACAGGTGATGAAAGGAAAACGTCACTCGCTCGGAAAGTCTCAAGTACGTCTCCAAATACAACATCCGCTAGATCAACAGTGACCCAGCAGATGTATAAACGTAAACATAACGTAACAAACATGCACTTTAGATAAAAGTGAGATAATGGACCTGAAAATCACTAAAACATTGTGCATCACAAACATTGGCAGATTTTGCAACACACATTTGTTTTATTCCTAGAAGCCTCTAATCTAATGTGATGATCATCCACAAACTGTTTAAGTGTTTTATAAGTCAACATGGAAATGCTAAAATTACACTGGAAATGTTTGTCCAAGAACGCAGAAGAAGAAGAAACATTTGGCTTCAACCTGCTAATGTCCAACTCACTGGGATTTGTTGTAAAACGACAACAGGAAGCAGTGAACAACTGTAAAAAAGGAACCGAATACGAAAATTATTTACAAATAATCTAAAAAAGGCAGATGTTTGGCCTCCATCTTCTTTATCTGAGCCATAAATAAAATACCTTGCGACCAACTGACTTCAAAAGTCATTTAATCAGCAAATTAAAGTTTCTAATTTAATCTCACTGCAAAGGCCTCTAAAGTTTGTTAGACAACATTAGTGAACAAAAAACATCATGAAGACTTTTACTAGATATAAATCAGTGAAAATAAACTGTAATTTACCACATATACACATCATCATTTTAAGACAAATAAAAGAAACACTTTTGTAATTTTAGGTTTTTTAGCTCAGGTTGCAGAGATTATTTTAACTTTTATTTGATCTATTTTCTTACTTATTTTTGCTTTATTGTGTCCAGGAAGCAAGAAAAACAAGTAGCTTCTACAGTTTGTAGCTACAAAGAGCAGCGTTATTTTTTTGTTGATTTTGTTGTAATGTAAATCTTAATCTACAGATTTATCATAAATGTTTTTTTTTTTTTGCAGTTTTGAACAAAAAATATTTGTATTTGTATTTTTAGAAAGAAAACAGTCAACTTTAAAAAGTAAAGAGTAGATTATTTCAATTCAGTGAAATTCAAAGTCAAATTATTGATCCCAAAGTGGAATGAATTAATTAATATTTTATTGTTAATTATTTTTGAGTCATAATTGCATAATCATCATGATTAAAAGTATAATTTTATACTTTTTTCCCTATACCGTGGGACTATTCCTGGGCATAATAAAGCAAATACAATGCAAATATATTTCTAAATAAAAAAATAATCATAATTTGCTACCGAGTAACGGACTTTGCATGATTTATTTCAGCGTGTATGGGCGTGACGTTGTTGTTTTGGATAGTAAAGCTCTTAGGTTTAGCCTCAGCTTGTTATTATAATTAAAACGAGCTAATTTCTATGTTTTTTGTCTTAAAGTTATTCATCTAAATCAGTGGTTCTTAACCTGGGTTCGATCGAACCCCAAGGGTTCGATGAGTCAGTCTCAGGGGTTCGGCGGAGCCTCTTCCGCAGAGGTAAAGACACACTGTGTAAAGTCGTGATGACGCCCCGCTTTGTGTTGAGAACGAGAATCTCAATCGATGAATCATAATTTGTATTGACACACGGAGCATAAAATCAGCCAAGAAAAGCATTCAGACTTTACTTATTTTATTAACTTTCAGCGCTGAAAGGAGACGCTTTACCATTACATCCGAGAAGAGTTTAGATCACGGTACATTGCTTAGCCAATCAGTGCTGCGGAGGAGCACTGATTGAAGGAGCTCCACTCTCAGCATGGATTTGAACTTGTCTTTAATTACTTCAGCAAAGCTCACAGTTTTTACCAAATTCTGTAGCTTCCGGTGTACTTCTAAATCTGCTCCTTAGTCGCATCTTTTCGGGGTTGGTACTGCCTCTAGTGGCGTGGGGGTGGTAACACAACTAATATAATTACATTACTAAATCAGAATACCGCAAAGTCTTTTTTATTATCAATTTTTCATTCTCTTAAGAATGTAGAGCTAATTAAATGATCTAAATAAGACCTTAAAGTGGTTCCAGTTTCTCTTGATGGCCAACCTGTTGAAACTGTGGCAAATTTGGGTCATTCCTGGACAGTCAGCTCAACTTTGCTGAAAACACTGACTATATTTTGAAGAACTGTTCTCAGAGACTCTACCTTTTAAAAAGACTTAGTGATCATGGGGTGACCCAATTAGACTCTAGTTGGGTCACCCCCATGTCTTGAATTTGGAGGGGGGGGGGGTCATATTTTATTTATCACTACAGAAGGGGTCAGTGAATCCGCATATGAAACTGGTGGGTTCGGTACCTCAAAAAAGGTTAAGAATCATTGATCTAAATCTAAATCATTACATAGTATGAACAACTCCGAGGGGAAACTCAGCTGCCATACACTAATATGCAGGCTCAGACTTAGCTGTGGAAATTAGCATGTTAATATTTATTTTATTTTATTTTATTTTATCTCTAAAAGTGTCTTGTCCCCAAACTTCACCTGAAACCCTCCAGCTGCTCGGCTGTGACCGGTGAACTCTAAGTGGGCGGGTCGAAAGTCTCGTCAGGTTTACAGGAAATGTGAGTACCAGGAAGTATACAGAACTACTGGGAAAGTTGTTGTGTCGCCAAAATAACTACAGGGGAAAAAAGTAAAAAGATCTTAAACACACAAACAGACAGCAGAGTTTAAAGAAAGTCAAGACAGACGCTGCAGAGGAAGTTTAAGGTAGGACGGATCTGAGCCGGAAAACAAAGTGAAAGAAAGAACTGCTTCAGTAACTGTAATAACAGCTAGCACACCGACAGGAGATGTGTTTTTATATGCTTTACATTTAGCTTAAACTCTAAAACTTAGAAGCATGTGCTGTACAACGTTGATTAGGTCACGTTATGACTCCAGCTTTGACCTCAAACACCAAAGTTTCAGTCAGAAGTTTGATCATTGCGAGTTAAACTCAGCCAAGTCCAAAACTATTCGTACCACTGGCAGATGTAGCTCTACAGTCAGTTTCATTCAACCAATAGTTTCTTAACGCTCATCATCTTCAGTTGAGAAGCCTTTATTGACATTACAACTTTCAAACTCTTTTTTAATGATTCTTTAGAAAGGTTTTTGGTCATTTTTACCATTTTATTTTTGGCTACAAACTGCTTGGAAAGCCTCCTAACGTTTAGCTCCCTCCAAATATTCTTTGTCACATTCAGGTAAACGTAAGTCTTACTTCCAGCGAGGGCTGGACAATAAATCAATAACAATATATGCCGCAATAAACACGCAATCAATATCAATAAGTAATACATCTGATAGAATATTCAGTTTTTCAATGAACTCTGATCCAAACCTGCACAGCATTCTGGGGGATGTAGGCAGAGAAAGGTCCTCTCTGAGCTAGCTAAACAAGAAGTGTGGCCTCATCTTACTCAGTCTTTGGTTACCTAGCAACAACCTACTGAGCGCAGCAGTAGTTAAAGATTTGCCAGAGTTCCTCAAAACAGCTTTAAAAACTGCGTGGAGTGAAAAGTTAAAGTTATGCCACCAGTTTGGCAATTTAATTCTGCTGTAATCATTTTGGATTAATCAGAAATCTTATCTTTTCAGGATTTAATTATTAAATCTCACACCATGCCAATTACTTCTAAAAACAAGAATTTGTTGCATGAGTTTCAATTTATAGTCAATTTTCTCTAATCTGCACCTCTGTGAATAAGTTGGACACTCTTCTTTACAGAATTGGTCCAGTTCATTTAAATAGTTTGATTTCCTGGTGCTGACTGAGCTCTTAAGCATAGTCCAAACATTTTTATTCACATTTTGGTCTGTTTTTTTAATTCCAAAACCAGCTTTTTTTGTTTGGGATCAATGATCTGTTTGAACTTGGGTTGGGCATTTATCGTATCGTTTATCATTTATTGTGAAAAATATTGTGAATAATTTAGATTTTTTTGTTGTCTCATTACATTTAAATTAATTATATCAATTGAAAAACAAAACTCACAGTATTTTTGTAAATTTTGTCCATATCCAGCACCCGTAGTTTGAACATATAGTTTCCTGATTTGAGCTGAAATTGAAAGGATGAAGGTAGTTCTAGTTGTGCGTTTGTTTCAACCTACTACCTGCCAGGGGATGAATCAAACCCGCTGCATGATGCTCCAACCATAACATCACATCATGGCGTCTTACTGAGACTCTTCCAAGCAAACCTGCCAAACCGATCCATCTTTTTCTTGGACTCACCATGTGAACAGCTGCAAATTTCAGTCGGGCTGGAAGGTTTCCGCAGCCTGGGTTTCTTCCTCCCCATTTAAATCTGCGGACAGAGACGCTGGTGTTCCAGCAGGTCATGGCAGCTTCTGCCTCGGTGGTTTTCTGGTTGTTCCTGAAGTTTGAAATCCTGTTTCCTTTCATCTGAGCACTGTAAAACATTTGAACGTGGCTTAGCTTGAAAATACAGATTCACCTGTTGCCTTGAAAATGCAATTAAGGTCAATGAGGAAACTGTTTTAAATTTCATGAAGTTGATTTAACAACAAAAGACAAGTTGTCTAAACATTGTTTTTAAGTTCATTAATCTTGAATTGGGAATTTTATAATTATTTCACAATATGCAAGAAAAAAACTGCCCTCATCCAATTAAAGAGCCACATTTCTGCATTATTTTCACTCACATGATCAAGTAGAAATAAATACTTATTTTACTTTAGAACAATTTAATTTCTTGTTTCAAATTGTATGAACAAAATTTGTGATCTGATAGTGAATTTTGTTAAACATCAGAATAAATTCTGCTCAGAAACATTTAGTATGATACAAAAACATGCCGCTAAGCATTCTGGGAAATAGTTCCCCTTTCAGTTTTTTAAGTGCTAACCTAAAATCTCTCGTTTATTCAACTCTTGGAGGTTTGAAAAAACTAATATAAAAGTTAACACGACTCACTGCTGTAAGTTTATCTTTCACAAACTCACAAAATCTAAAACTGGCTACGTTTATTTGACTTGAAGAGTAGAAGACGGTAAACACAACTAAATGTTTTACAGTGAGGCAGCGGCTTGGCTCTGAACTGAAAATCCTCCTAGTAAGTGACTTATTCAGATGTCAGTTCAGCTTATTATGTCATAGTATAGATTGTGTTTTTTCTTTATAATATCCTGTACAAAGTAATTAATTTACAAGGTATTACGTTATGAATGTTGAAGCATCAGGTTTAGTCAGAAATGTAAGCAGTAAAAGTCATTTTTTCTTGTTTGTTGCAGTGTTGGGTTTAGGTGGGGAGGCCATGAATCGGGTCCCACTGCAGCAGCCGCAGACCTGCGGCCCGTGGGAGCTGAAGGAGCGGCTCGGCACCGGAGGCTTCGGGAATGTCACGAGATGGCAGAATAAGGTAAAGCAAATCAGAACCTGTAAAAAAAAACCCACTAAAATACCCTTTTTTGAGCTTTTTTCTGTTTTTCTGGTGATTGAAGTGTCCAAATAGTTGCCAATTTATCCACTGTGTTGCTATATTTAGCCACTTTTCAAAATCAGAATTGGCAGGTTAATCTTTTGTTGATCAGCCAGAAAGCTGAGATCAGTGCACACCTGGTCAGTGCACACCTGGTCTGCTCGTTAGGGACGGGCGATATGGACTTTGAATTTTATCGCATTATTTTGATATCTATAAAGATTATGATAAGAAAACTATTTATTAGTCGTTCTTTAGGTAACGACTAACTTTCACACAAACACAAATATTGTTCTTGAAAAACAACAAAAAAATAAAAACGCGTAATTTATATCACTGCATTTAATCTTATTTTCAAATTTGCTGAAATTTATTGATGCTCTCAAGCAGGGGTGGCCAAGTCCAGTCCTCGAGAGCCACCATCCTGCAAGTTTTAGAAGTATCCTTACTCCAACAGACCGGGATCAGCTCTACAGAGGCCTGATAACGAGCCAGTCATTTGATTCAGGTGTGTTGAAGCAGGGATGCATCTGAAGCTTGCAGGATGGTGGCTCTCGAGGACTGGACTTGGCCACCCCTGCAAGCAACAAACAGTGGTGAAAATAGCAAAAGTAACATTTCCAGTCATGTTTTTTATTTACCATCAATAAGTGAAATTTAATAATAAATCAAAATAATTCTTATCATGAAAATAGACTTTTCATGATAAATGCTAAACATTATGATAAATGCCCACCTCCACTGCTCATTAGTAGTTTTCAAGCTTTGTGAAGGTCCTGGAAAATCTTTTAGTGTGAATAATTTTATGTTGATTATTCTGAATATAATTGATAATGTGATAATTTAGCATAGAACATAATAATCCTTCAGTTGCCCTGAAGTGTGGAAACTTTCAGCAGCAAATATCAACACAACCCACAAGTTTACATGAAAATCATTTTATAATTAAATTAATAATTTAACGTCTCCCTTTTTTAATATCTTGTGAATCTTGGACCATGTAAATATATATATATTTTTTTATTAATCTCAGCCTGTAGAAAACACTAACTGGACTGTTCTTGTGTAAAACAGGGCCGTTTAATGCAGCTTTTACTCTCATGTTTCTTGTTTTTTGTTTTTCAACATTTCTATCTCAGAGAGAGTAACTCATGTTTAACCGAAACCTAATCTGAAATTACTCAAGTCTTTTCTGATTTATTTTCGCTTTGATTAAATCTTTGACTCAGAGGAGGAAAGTCGAAATGTTCATCAAAAGCGTCTGGGTTTTTACGTACTTTGAATAGAGAGAAAGAATGAGCTCAGTCCAGGAAACAGACGCATCACTGCACTTGTTGCAGCTGAAATGGTTTCTGTTGTCATGATAAGTCAGAGCAAGATGAGCTTATCAAGTTGTAATACCAGTAAGAGGGGAGTATGGAAAGTGAACCTCTCCTTCCTTTTGTTGCAGCCGTTTAGCGGCATTACTCACCGTCACCTCCTTGGTGGCCAAGCAGCATCCTGAGGAGTCAGTCTGAAAGCTTATGGGAGATTCTCAAACAGTTCCTGCAACATATTTTGTCACATTACAGTTATTTTGTGAATCTGGCATGCAGAAGGTATTTGTATTTAGAATGCCGTTTCCTTTATAACTCTGGTCAACAGCCAAAAATTTGTCTGGGGGTTTTTCAACTGTTTTAGGGTCATTTTGATGTGCTGAGTCCAAAAACCACATTGGTTTTGCTCAATCAGGTCAACTTCCTGATCTATGGATGCATCATGAGCATCAAAGTGCATGACTTGTTCTCACATATGAATCTTTTTCCTGAGAATCTGAATTAAGCAGCGGGAGAGATTCCATTAGGACAGAAAAGATAAGGAGAATATTGCACAATGAAGATGTTTAATGTTCACTTCACATGAACTACTTAACCCTTATCAGTGTTTAATATTCAATTTACAGAAATCCAAGTTTGTAACATTTAATTAATACACTCTGTTAGAAAACACTTTCTTTCCCCTGAAACCTTTCTTGGATGAGAAATATTAAAGGAAATGAACTGATGATGTCACAAAAATGTAGTCAGTTCAGTCAGAAGATCGGATTTCTCTAAATCAAATTAGACTAAAAACCTGACCTAATTGAGAAAAATTGATGTCATTTTTGATTCAGTGGTGCAAAATAGTCCTAATTCAGTTGACAAAACAGAGACAACTTATAAAAATGTAACCCGATGCTGTCACTTCTGATCGAACTGGTGATCGTTTGCAGCGCTGCGACTTGGATTTTAGGAGGATATTAGATGTTTTCCTGCTGACACCGCTGCTGCCATGACTAAGCATCCTGCACTGAAAGTTCCCTGTATCGATGACAACATTGTTGGTTATAATTAGGTATCTGATCACAGACTGGTCTGGGATTTCATTGGAGAAACAGGAAGGTGGGGAGAGGAGTGGCACCACTTCCTGGACGAGAAACGCATAGTAGGGTGAAGCTGGATGGGTCATTACTTTTGGAAATACCGTCACTTTATTGGTCACACCTTGCTTGTTTCTGGTTGGACCCCCTTTTTGATTTATTTATTTAAAACAGGTTTTTAAAAACAAGAATAAAAGCAATCAAAAGGACAGAAAAAACATGTGCATACATAACCAAGAACAAAATAATTAGTTTACCTCTACGTTTCTGTTTGGAAAGGAGTAGAAAGAAGTGAACATTTATTTAATAATACCCCTTGTCACAACTTAATTAAATGCATTAGTTACTGACTCAATAATTATCAAACTTTTGTAATTACAACCAGGTTACCATGCATTCATGAGCCAACAAATTAATTATACTACATAGACAAAATGGTTACAAACTAACTCATAACAAGACTAGAAAACCTACAGATAATAGTAATAAAGACAGAATAATTACCAACTCCTTGACAAAGTACACCTATAAATTCTTCTTGGTCTGGGTTATAAAACAAAAAAAAACCAAACAAAAAAAAAAAAACGGAGAGAGAGAGGAAAAAAACTAATGATATGATGGTAAGATAATAATAATAAGCTACCAATATTGGCTTATTATTATTTTTCTAATGTTTGTTTCCATGTTGCTGCTGTTTGTTTTTGTGTTTCGGGTCCAGCAGCGGGTCGGTCATGTGGTTCCTGTTCATTCAAGTGACATGATAGTGATGCAGCAAATTACAATATAATGCAGTTTAACAGAAGCAGAGAAGAAATGGAGTAATGGTTGTTTTTACATGCTGTTGAAAGTGTAGGGAAACATACATAACGCATATGATATCGGTAAATATTGGTAAATACTCCCATAACAACAGTATTAATATCATTTTCATATTGGTGCATCCCTAATAAATACTCTTCTATAGCTTAAAACTCACATTCGAAGTCAAACTGCACAAAAATTACACAAAAATCTGAAATTGTTCTGTGTCATAATAAAACTAAAAAGCAGCAGTCTCATAAAGACACTTTAAAAAACAAAGTGTGTTATCCAGTCTTCATCTTCATTCAGTTTAATAGACAAACTCTCACTTTTGTACAACCTTTTTGTTGTTCTACTGTCCATGTGACCTACAGCTATGTGCACTGACGATACGAAGGAAATTTATTTTATTTCCTGGTTCGCCCATGACTCCTCCACTCAGCTCCTTCAGACTAGCAGCAGCAATTAGCAAACACTGGTGGATCTGCACCTCTGCTGAGATCTTTATATGAACTATACGCCTACAACAAATAAACACTTGATAGAGGACTGTGGATGTGATAACCTGAAAAAAACTGGAGCTTCTTAAAGAGACGGAGGCCCAATTTCAAGGCGTCAAATTTATTTTAGGTCATGTTTGACATATATTGCATTTTTATGACAGCTGAAGGTGACATAATTACTTGATTGTGCTATAAAATGATACTCTGTGGGTGGAAAACACATAATACCGCCCATTTAAGGTTTCATGGTGAAAAACATGCTGTTTATAAGTTTCTGAACCTCCTTGTGAGTCCTCTCTGGCTAATGGAAAACTCTTTTAATTATTTTTTAAACTCCTAAATCTTACGAGCTGCACCTGGCCGGAGCCGTTTAATGGTCAAACTGTTCTTGGTTGTTCTGGATCATGACTTTATCAGCGTTCACTAGGAAATTCAGAAGCTAGAAATTCAGCTGCACCAATCATAGCAGTCTGAGCAAAACTTTGGTAATGAGAAAATCTTTTATATTGTTTTGCACAAAGCAGAAGGAATGCTTTCTTGGGTTTCTATGACTTTTTATATCTTTTTCTTCCTCCCTTTTCCAGTCCACCGTATTACACATAACGGTGCACTAGTTTGTTTTGGTTTCTTTGAGTTTGTAACCATTTTGTCTTTCTTTGTATGTTTGGATTGCATGGCTTCTAGTCTTCTGGTGAAATATTAGACATGTCCATTTTTTAATAACCATCACTTAATATTAACTAAAAAAGAGAAATTGCTGGAAATGAAACCATCTTATTTTCCAGTTATGAATAAATAACTGGAAACAATCATCTTAATAAAAGTATTGTTACACTTAAAAAACCTAAACAAACAAAAGCCAGACTGAGTAAAAGTAAACCCAGAGACTTTATAATGCAGAAATGTGGAAGAGGATTAATTATTTTTGTGCCGTTAGTGCGTTATTACAGTTTGGTCATGCACTATTTGTATCTGTGATGAAAAGTTTTAATAAGTTTGGGGACATACAAGCTTTTTATTAAACGACCGAACTGGAACTGCACTGGGAGCGTTAATTCCCTGAGGGAATAATGTTTCATTTTAAGGGCAAATAAAAGTGGCCACTTGATATTATGAGAACAAGAAGCCGAGGCTTCGTTCTTGTCCTTGAATTAATGCCAAAGCAGGACAAAACAGAACCAATACTATAAGCTTTTATTGGCGGGTTTGGGGAAGGATTAATGAAGAGCACTGGCAAATGTGGAAGTAATAAATGTATAGTCAGTCCTCTTATGGAAACCCGGGTCTCTGTTTCTGCTTTCAGGACACAGAGGAGCAGATCGCATTAAAACAGTGCCGACAGGAGCTGAGCGAAAGAAACAAAGAGCGCTGGTGTCTGGAGATCCAGATCATGAGGAGGTACGTTTTACTGTCACATGCATTAACACTAACATTTTTACTCACTTATTCACTGTTATTAAAGTAGCACCACTTCACTGCTGTTCTGCTTTTATGTGTTGATGTAGTCCTGTAGCGTTTGAAGGCATAAAATGGAGAGAAATCTGAATTTATCAGCTAATAGTTTGCACAACATCAAGAAAAAAGATTTTTTTTTACTTGCATCCAGAATGCACTTATGTTTAATGTTGAGCTTTAATAAAATATTTTGATGACTTAAAAAGAAAAACCAGACATAAAAATCCTCAAATATCACATGGAAATACTCTAGTTTGTTTTCTGAGAGCTTTGCTCTGCTTCACTTACTTTGTTGCTTTAAAGAAGTTTTAATAAATTATAAAATTTGATCATAGCTAAATATCTATAATTAAACTTACTTCCACTAGATTATGAAATTATTAAAAATGACCTTAATACTCTTCTATCAAATCGAGTTCAGGTAAACATCTCAAATTGTGTGCAAAACAATGAATAATTGTGACTGAAAGTAAATAAAAGCAAACAGATAATAACAAAATAATGAGAAAAATAAATGTAAAAAAGGGAAAAATTAGGAAAGCTAAATAAAAGACTTGACAAAGTAATAAAATTTTTAAATATGTAATAAAACAAAGAAAATTAAAAACTGTGTACTATTCTTTTTTTAAGAAAGAAATATACATACAAACATTATTGAAATTTAATGAAAATTTAATAAAAGAAAATGTTTTGTTTACATTTCTGATCTTATTTAATTTTTTATGTCTTGATTTTTTCAAAATATTTACTTCTTACATGTTTTTGTTAAACTTTTATTCATTTAAATGTTTGATTAAATAAGCGTTTTTTTGTTTATTTTTTAAACAAAGCCTGTTGATGCTTTCAGATCGACTTCTGGAACATGATCCCTGTTTAATTTGCTGTTTTGTGAGCCAGCTTGGTTTGTTCCCTGACGTCTTTGGAGTCTCTGGGTTTTCCGTTTTTATGTCTCCATCTCCTACTCAGGTTTCCTCTGGAAAACAAAAGACAAATTTTCTTTCCCTAGATAGAAAAAAAAATCACCCATTTAACAATTAATTAGCTTGGCTGTTTGGGTTATTTTGGTGACTTTGGTTATTTCTAGCGCCACAGTATTCCTCCGCCTGGCTTTGCGTCGCATTTTAAACCCAAACACGCCTGTGAACAGTTTCCGTTGAGGTGTCGGTCCCTCGGTTCTGTGCCAGCTCGTGTGGGATGGGATGTTTGTCAGATGCAAAGTGTGCGTGTGTTTTGTTATACTTGACGGTGCAAACTCATTTTTCCTCATTCTCACTTTAACAAGTGTGTTGTTTTTGGACAGACATGGTTAGAACCACAGCGGCCCATCCTCCCACGCTTCATTCATGGAAAAACCGCAGGGCAGGGGACATGGCAACATTAGCTATTATATTATAGCAGCTTCTTAACACAGATTTACGTTTCCACTGAAAAACATCTCGCTTTGTTTGGTGGCTATAATGTGTTTATGAAGCTCGAGTTGCACCATTTCTCAGTTTGCTGAAAGATTTGAGCAAACAATAATAATAAAAAAACTGTTTATTCTGCAGTTTCTCATTGTTTTTTATTCTCAGATTGAGCACACACATCCAAACTTTGATAGTTTCCAGATGAGAAACCTTTCCTTTCTTTTATCAGAAATAGAAAAAAACATCCAAAACCTTAACTTCCTGTGTTACAGTAAGATTTCAGAGCAATCAGGTTCTTTGTGTCACTGAGAGCCTCCAGTTTTCTTTGGAATAATCTGCCAGGATTAAAACAGATTTTCTTTGGAAGGGTCTCGCTGTTTTTCTTGGTTTAAAAATTTAAACTCCACCTCACTGGACTGGAGAGTCCTGTTGTACATTTGAATGTGTCAGGTTCGTGTGATTCGCAGTTTTTCTGTAGCCACACATGGAGATCCCAGCATGAGGTCAACACGTTATGTCACAGAGTCATTGTGTCATGTGGAATCAAACATGGAGGACCAACATTTAGCTTTATACTTTTAGTATTGGAGTCCTAGAGAAACTCCTGTTAGTTTACTTAGCAACTCAGAACAAGAATCAAACATGGAGGACTAACATTTAGTTTTATACTGTACAATTCGAGAACGAACTTAGTACCATTTACTTAGCAACCCGAACAGCTGGACCCAACATTTAGTTTTATATTCACTAATAGAATCAAACATGGAGAACCAACATTGTTGTTTTATCAGAACCAGAATCCAGAGGAACCCCTACTAGTTTATATGGACTATTTATTCTTATTAAACATGTGGAATCAATATGTACCTTTCCCTTTATATACTTCTTTTAGTTTTGTTGTTTGGTTTGTATTTCTATTAGGGCTGTAGTGATACAGTAATCTTACGATATGATACGATACACGATATTCTGTCCACGATATGATATATATTGCAATATTCATCAAACGATACAATTCAGTACACTTTTGCGATTTTCTGAAAGATTTTAGAGGGACAGTGTGTTTTTGGTGACATTTTGAGACTGTTATAGAGTTGGATTGAATTAATTTAACTGAAAACTGATTAAAACTCCAACCTGGCTCTGGTTGGACATGGACACAG